AGGGTGTAAATCTTTACGGGAGTAGAAAGCCTCATCTTTCTCCCGCGGAGTGACTGGCAGTTTCGAACCGCTGACCTTAAGGTTCGCAGCCCGATTCGTAACCACTACGCTACCAGAGCTCCTTCTCTGCACTTACTGGCAGAGCTGAAAAGCTTTGTTAACACTTACCCAAGCAAAGTAGAGACTGGGCAGGCCCAAGAGGCCTGAGCAGCCAAGAAGTCAAGCGCCAGGGAGACACCTGCCTTCAGGTATGGCTGAAAAGAGGCTGTATCATGAATCTTTCTTGAATCTGAATTGTAACCTGTTACTTCTTTAATAAACCCCATAATCATGAATATTGTCTGTGAGCCCCTTGTGGCCATTGCACTGAAGCATCAAAGGCAGCAGAGGAGAGAGTGCCGTGCCGTGGGAGAGAGGCTTGATGTCAGAATGATCAAAAGGTTGGAGAAAGGAGGTATGTCTGACCTCCACTATAGAGCAATCAGCCTTGAACTGATGCATATAGTGATGCTCTCTCCCCTTCGTGAAATTAGAGGAGATCAGACACCTCCGCCATGCCATGTTTACAGAGTGGAATGGTTGGGGCACATGGTAGTTTCTATGTATGTTTTTTTTTTTTAAGGAATCATCACACTGCTTTTCACAATGGCTGTACCATTTTGCATTCCAGTTTCTCCACAATCTTGCCAGCATTTGTTATTTTCTATTTTGTTGTCAACCATCCTAAGGGAGTGAAATGGTCTCTCACTGCGGTTTTGATTTGTATCTTTTTGATAGTTAATGATGCTAAGCATCTTTTCATGTGTTTGGTGGCCATTTGAATGTCTTCTTTGGTGAAATGTCAATTCAACTCCTTTGCCCATTTTGTGTTTGCATTATTTGTGTTTTTGTTGTTAAGTTGTCCAAGTTATATATATATGTTTTATTAGGTTCTTGTCAGATATTTGGCTTCTAAAGATATTATCCTAGTTGGTTGCTTGTTTTTTTGTTTTTACATTCTTTTGTAAAGTTTTTAGTTTTTAGGAGGTTCCCTTTATTTATTTTGCCTTTAGTTGTTTGTGTTTTGTTATTATATTAGATAATCCATTGTTGAAAGTTAGGCCTGACAGTGTTGCCTCTACTTGTTCTTCTAAGAATTTTATGATTGTAGTTTGTACTTTTAGATCCTTAATCCATTTTGAAATGTTTGTGTGCGGGTATGGTGTGAAACATGAATTTTGTTTCATTTTTTTTTTCAGTAGAAATTCAATTTTCAGTCCCATCTATTGGAAAGGCACTTCTTTCCCCATCTAATAGACTAAACACTAATCAAAAGATCATTTAATGATAGATTTACGGGTTAAGGCAGGCACTTCTTCACAGATACCAGGATAGAAGTTAATCACAGAAGCCATATCCCACCATCATGTTGGTCATGTTCTGTAAACTAGAAGCAAGTCACAGTTCCCGTCCACCCACAAGAGGAGGAGACTACACAAGAGTCTGACTTATTGGAGGTCATCTTAGCGTTGCGATACCTCATCATCACCCACCCACCATGGAAAGCAGAACTGTAGGCATGATTAACATGCACCTGACCATTGTCCTTCTTGGTGAATTGAAGCTATTTTCTAAAGATTTATGCTATGTAGTGAAAGATGGTTTTCTAATCCCTAAAGTGTCTTGCCAACTTCAATGACCATTCCATCTCTCCTCACTATTAAGGTAGCCAGTACTTCTCAGGTCCCAGATCATGCGGGCTTGAAGGGCTCCTGCCCAGACTCCCCACCCACAGACCACCCTCCAGATTGCTCTGTTTCTTCTCTCCCAGAAGCTCAAATTGGGTTTTGGCAAGACAAGACTTTATAGATGAATGGAAGCATTTGCATTTTAATGAGAATTGTCATGGCAGATCCTAAGGAAAGCTGTAGTTTCTTCATCCATGTCTTAAGTGATTGCTTTTCAACCCCAGAGTTACAATTGCTGTGCTACTAATGCATTTCAAACCTTGGTAACAGGTGAAAAAGTATAAGAAAATGGTCTTAGGCCTGCTGGTGCATGGGCTGTATGATCCTGTGAGTTCTGACGTCATCCATGAAAGTATGAAGATACTGAGCATCTTTCTGGGCAAGATCCAGGGGAAAGGTTTGGGCTCCTTCTTCATTGACATCACTCTTCAGACCAGGACTCTATTAGATGATGTAAGTAGGAATAACCCGGAAAAACTCTGGGTCATTGATATCAAAGTGGGGTAAGAAATCTGAGCCCCGGGTGGTGTGTCACACATGAAATGAGGTCATTTATTTATTGAAGACCTTTACTGAGAGGGTACTACTGTGCTGGGGGTCGAGGAGGCTATATAAAGATGTATAGGATCTCATCATTGCCCCTCATGACGTTCTCCTTTGAGGAGAGAAGTAAGCAGGTGTACATTGATGGTGATTTTGAAACTCATATCAATTCAGTGCTCTCTATTCAATGTAACAGTAGTACATGCATTCAGTGAGCTCTTACTGTATACTAGGTATTGTTGTTGTTGTTAAGTGCCTTCAAATCGGATCAGATGCACAGTGGCCCTGTATAGGGTTTCTGAGGCTATAAATCTTTGCAGGAGCAGAAAGCCTCATCTTTCTCCCATTGAGTGGCTGGTGGGCTTGAACTGCAGATCTTGTAGTTCACAGTCCATTGCTTATTTTACAGAGCCTCCACACTTCCATATCACCCATGGTGGCGCCCTGTGATGTAGGCTTTATTGTTATTCTCACTTTCTAGATGAGGACCAAGGTACAGATGGTTTAGGTAACTTGCCCAAGGTCACAGGGCCAACAAGTGGCTATGGAAGCAGGTCCTCTTACTGTACGGCCAACACTCTTAGTCACCTGATGACAGGACAGGCTAAGTGTTCATTGCCATTGAGTCAATTCCCACTCACAGGCCCCAACAGGATAGAGCAGAAGGGCCCCATGGGGACGCAGACAGCACGTCTTTCTCTTGCTGACCTTTGGCTAGCAGCTGAGTGCTTGACCCCTACACCACCAGGGTTACTCAGGCTAAGTAGGCCACAGCTAATGTGCCAAAGGGGCTCAGGTGAAGGAGGAATTGTGCTTCTCGATGGCCTTGAAAGAGAGGTGGTTGTTGTTGTTAAGTGTGATGGAGTTGGTTCTGACTCATAGCAACCCTGTATAGGATTTTCGACGAGTGGCTAGTAAGTTTGAACTACCAATTTTGTGGTTCAAACCAACCTTGCAGTCCAGTTCTTATCTTACAGTGCCACACCAGAACTCCTGAAAGGAACTAGACTGGAGACAGCATTCATGTTGCTTGGACTACATTGTATTAATGTTTCATCTGAAACTGTGAAGAGTCTGAAATACCCTATTTAGAAACTAAGAAGTTAGCATGCCACAGCTATATATATTTATAAGTATATGTATTTTTTATAAGTATATTTATAGTATATGTACAAGTATATATGAGTATGTGTAATATATACATATATATACATACATACAAACAAGGGGGCTTCAAAAATATCTTTTAATTCTGTTTTGTCACGAACTTTTTGAAGCTCCCTTGTATAAACATGTATGTAATATCTGTCCATCAAATCCAAGGCCATCCAGTAACTGCTGACTCACAGTGACCCTATAGCACAGAGTGGAATTGTCTTGTAGGGTTTCTGAGACGACATCTTTATAGGACCAGACAGCCTCATCCACCTCCCACTGGGCTGCTGGTGGGTTTGAACAACCAACCTGTGGTTAGCCACCCAACGTTTATATATATATATAAACACCTTAAGATGAGAAACTAAAATATAAAATCAGTAAATTTTGTAAGTGTAAAATTGATCACAGCCTTTTGTTGTGCTTAAATGTGTTGTTATTGATCAATTGAAAGGATAGTTTAAGGTATTTGAATTAGCCAAAAGTACTTTCACACTTCACTTATGGTGTAATTAGCACCCAAAACAAAGAACTACACAGTCAAGGGTAAGCACTGGATTGTGAACCACAAGCTTGGTGGTTTGAGCCCACCAGCCCCTCCAGGGAGAAAGATGAGGCTCTCTGCTCCTGAAGAAATTTACAGTCTTAGAAACCCTAGACAGGGTCACTATGAGTTGGAACCAACTCGATTGCATTTAATAACAACAACAAACACAGACAAAGAATGGGCAGCCTCCTTAAAACTGTGGGAATTCAGTAGGCAGTAGCTAACAAAGGGAGGCAGTAGTAGAATTTTCACCTTGGCTCAGGTTTCAGGACCAGGAAACATGGATTTAAAAATCTCCAAACCAAGAGCCAGGAAACTGGGCTCCTCTCCTGGCTCCCTGGTAGTGTGACTCTTGGACCTGGGGCTTCTCACCTGGACAGGAAGAGATTTGGACCAGACAGCTCACCTTGGAGAGGGAAAAGGGACTGAGTTGAGCTGACATGTGCTCAGGGACAAACCCACAAAGCAGATGAAAAAAGGGAGAAACTGGGAGGCTGTTGGGGGTAACAGTAGAATGGTTATTTATGCTACAGACAGGAGTTATGCAGATCGCAGTTAAAGCAAGGTGACCTGGTGAAATGCGGGAGTAACAACAGGGGGCTGGCTGAATGAATTCTGATTCAGAAAGAAAAGAAAACAACAAAAACTCTATGTACTGACATGGAGAGAGCTCCAAGATAGATTGTTTGATGGAAAACTCAAAATGCTTAACTGTATAGTGTGGTAGGCTTCCATTTATGTAAAATTGTGGAACAGAAATATGGAATGTGTGTGTATATTTTTTTCTTTTTAAATTTTCTGGAGGGATACACATAAAACTTATTACTCTGTTTGCTGGTGGGGAGAAAAACTTTTATAGAAGGAGTGGGAAGGAGATTTACTTTTTCTTCTGACTCTTGATTAGATTAAGTTTTGAACTTTTTAAATGTGTAGTCTGCAAAACATTCAATAGTGAACAAAAATGGGGGCATCTCTTTGTCTGCTGGGGAACAGGTCCATGAAGACTTGGCACCTCTCCTCTGTGGCCAGACCCCTCCCCACAGCTTAGGGTTCCTGAGGGTCTGATGGCTCACCTGGTAATGTACCTGAAAGAATAGGCAGGTGTGATGTTCTCTGGTGCAGTTGTCTTTGGTATGACCTAGGGTTTGTTGTTTTTTGTTGCTGGGGGACCCACAGGAGGATGACAACCTGAGATATTCAGCCTTTGTCTTGTTTGGGCAATTGGCTGCCTTTGCTGGGAAGAAATGGAAGAAATTTTTCACCGCTCAAGTTAAGCAGACCCGAGATTCCCTCCGGGTCCATTTATGGGATAGAAATCCTCAAGTTGCCAAGGTAAGACTCTTTGACTGTGGCTCACCAACCAGCCACATGGAATCTCTGTGCCATCCCAAAGTAGCCTGTGTTATGGCCAGGCTGAGTGGGGACAATAAACCCTTCAGGTTCCTGCCAGGCTACTTCTAGAGCTGCATATTTGTGTAACTCCTGCACAAAACACCTCCTCAATGTATAATCTCTCTCTGACCAAGCGTGTTGTTTTCTGATTGTTCCTACCTGCCTTAGGCTGGATTT